ATCACAGTTCTTAGAATTACTCCACTGCCTTAACGTAGGTAGATCCTTGGGATCTTTGGTACTTACAACTATCAACCAACCCCGTATTTATCTTATTGACTTCTCATTGAATTCAATGTTGGTTGACAGCTATCATTGGATTTTGGAGTGGAAAAGAAGGTTTTGAATATTATTTTTAAACTATTAGCTATAACCATACTGGATTAAGAAGTAACTAAAATATGTAGAGATTTTGAATTAAAGGCTTATATTCTAATTAAATATTGACACAGATCAAAATGAATTGTATTTATATACTGCTTTGTTAAATCACATCTTCCTTATACAACTACTTAAAGATCATAAAAAGTGATAATAAATAAATAAATATTGTACCTCTATTCATCATTCATTCATTCACTTTGGAGCCCAAAGGTGACCTGGAACTCACTGTGTAGCCCAAATGTTACTCACCTCAGTCTTCCAGTTAAATAACTTTTAAAATCATAAATAACATGAACTATTTTTGTGTGTTTGCTAGTCCTGGGGCTTGAACTCGGGTTGGGTACTATCCCTGAGCTTTTTTTGCTCAAAACTAGCACCACTTAAACCATAGCTCCATTTCCAGCTTTTTTCTTTCCTTTTCTTTTTTGGGTTAATTGGAAATAAAAGTCTCATGGATAATTTTCTGCCTAGGCTAGCTTCAAACTGTGATCCTCAGATCTCAGCCTCCGAGTAGCTAGGATTGTGAGCCACTGGCATCCGGCACAAACAATATTTTAAAAAGAACAAGTAACCATTCTATTTAAAAATCTTCCAAGCACTTCATTAAACCTCAAATGCCCTATGTGAGCTCTTGAGCTATAGACAGTCTTCAGGAGGGTGGGACACTCGGCAAGTACCTCCTTGAACATTTCTGTAATTTGGCAGCTGTTGGTCTTCTCCATCTTTGCCAAAAATTCCTCAGAGCCAAGAGTAGTTGCCAAATGGAGTCAAAATGCTGCTGGCAATCAGGAATTGGATTTGCTACAAATGGAAGTGTTCCAGCCCTCCAAATCTGCCAACTTCATTGTTAGCGGAGAGTGATAAATGGATAGAGTGCATCTGCCCATGTGAGCTGACAAAGATCCAAACAGCTTGAAAAATGACAGGAAGCCAGAATTCTCTGACTAAGTCTGAGATGGTGTGTATCAGTCTAGACACAAACCGCGGAAACAAAGCAATATATGTAAAGAGACATTTTCTAGGGCTTTTTTTTTTTGTTTTTACCGTGTAGGCAACAGTAACAGACTTTTCATTTGATTGGCTTAGCTATGACCTATTCAAAACTATTAGGTAGAAAGCATTCAGTGTTGGGCACAGAGTGAGGAATCCAGAAATATTATGCCATCAACCAAGTTCACTTGTGGTTTTCTGATGATGCTTAAGTATTTTTCTTCCTTAAATCCTGCTCCATTCCTTTCTAATTTGGTGTAGGCCAAGTTACTGAAGGAAACAAAGCCCTCAACTATCAGCTAATAAGAGAAAATGAAAGTTGTCCCTGGAGCTTACAAATGGTTAAGGAAAATAGTAAATAATCTGTATAGTTTTCATAACAAGTAAAAATATAAAGAAAGAGTGACCTGGAACCCTGATATGCACCTGTAAGCACTGTTAATTTGGGTTGCTACCTTCTATTTCCTCTTTTCTGCTTCTCTGCTTTTCTCTGTGAGAAAATGTACAAGGTTCAGGGTTATCTCAGTGGTAGAGAGAACACTTGCCTACTATGCCAAGCACAGAACAAAACACAAACAAGAACACTGAACAAAGACATACAAGTGTGTGTGTGTGTGTTTAAGTTACCAAGGACTTCCAAATCTTTGCACCTAGTGGTTATTTCTTAGTATTAATCATACTGGACTGGTGGGCAGAATTTGACATCAAAATTCCTTTCCTCTTTGAAACAGTTTCTTCACTTGGATCCTAAGACCTCACAATACTCTCTAATTTTGTCTTTCTGCATAATTGAATTGATCTTTCCATTTATTTATTTTTGCCTTTCTGAATCAGGATCTCACTATGTAACCCAGGATGGCCTTGGAGTCACAGGTCTCCTGCCTCAGTATGCCAAGTGCTGGGAGTACAGGCATGTACCACCATACCTAGCTGATCCTTCTTTCATATTGTATTAGTTTTATGTAGTTGCACAATGGAGTTGCCATTTAACAAAGTAGTTTATGAACACAATAGATCTCAATCAATGTCCCCTCCTTTCCTGTTATCCTTTCTCAACGCTCAATCCTTGGACTTCTTGGGACTTTCTAGTTTCAAGGTTCTGAATATCAACTACCTGCTGAGGACTCCCAAGTTCCTGCTTTTATTTTTGCTTGAGGTTCAGATTCATATCTCTCTACTGCCAATTCTGTTTGGAAATAAATAGGCATCTTATGTCACTCAGAACAGAACACTCCCCACTACAAGAAAAAAAAAATCTTTGCTACTAATTAAACAGTAATGACTTAGGCCAAAACTTTGGCGCTATCCTCATTCTTTTTTCTCTTCTACCCCATATACACTCAACCAGCTGTCCCTCAAAATATATTTGAAATCTAGCCATTTCTCACTATGTCTTCTATTACTACAATGGTCCAAACCATTGTGGTCTTTTGCCTGAAATACTCTGAGCCTTCTCCCTTTTGCTTTTGTCTTTTCCCATACTGAGCATTCCTTCTAAAACTAAAGCCAGGCACATCATGTTATCAAAACACTTAAGTGGCCTCTCAGGTCACCCAGACTATAAAGCCAAGTCTTTACAATGGTCTGCTAAACATTCTGAGTACCTTACTACTTTTAATTCAAAATACAAATATAGAAGGCAGTCAGTGGTTGGTTAAGAGCATGTAGCAGAGGGTCAGACTGCCCATGTTCAAAGCCTGGCTCTATTTATTAACTGTGCAACATTGGGCAAGATATGTAACTACTCTGTGCCTAATTACCCTCATCTGTAATATAATGCCTATGACAGGGTTATTGTGAGAATTGATGAGTTACTATTTGTAACATGCTTACAAGTAACTGAGTATAGTAAATATTGTAAAAATTTAGAAATGACATAACTCATTTTATGCTATTAATATTTCCTCACAAATTCTGCATGTCCAAAATATGACACCAAAATGGTCCCATTCAGAGGAATTTAAATATATTCAAACATCTTGCAAAGCAAAAGTTGATTTTTAAGTGTTTTGACTAAACAAATTTAAAATGGAATATCATTTTGTTTTTTTTAAAAATTTATTTATTTTTATTGTGAGAATACCATACAGAGGGGTTACAATTACATGGGCAAGATAATGAGCACATTTCTTATCAAGCGTTGTTGCCTCCTCATTGTTTTCCCTTCCCATCCCTTCCCATACTCCTCCCCTCCCCCATCCCCCACCAAAGTTGTTATTTTTCAACATAATGACTTGTACATCTCATTGTTGATCTCAAGGTTAGAATGGTTAATATACTATGATTTACACTAGAGTTAGAATCATCACTGTAACATGATTTATACTTTTAAATATTTTGGTGCTTTTTAAGCATGCAAATGTTGGGCTGCTTAAATATTCATATCTCATATTCAAATTTCCTATCTCTCTCTTTCCCCCTCCCTCTCCCTGTCCCTCTTTTTCCCTTCTCCCTTTTCCTTGTTCCTGGTCCTGGGGCCTGAGCTCAGGGGCTGGGTGCTGTCTCTGAGCTTTTTTTTCCTCAAGGCTAGTACTCTACTACTGATTTTTTTTTCCTGATTAACTGGAGATAAGAATTTCAGTGACTTTCCTGTCCAGGATGGTTTTGAACTGAGATCCTTAGATCTCAGCATCTGGAGTGGCTAGGATTACAGGTATGAAAGCCACTGATGCCCAGCTATTCATGTACTTCTTAAACAGTAATACTTCATTTCCTAAAACATACGTAATTTGTTCAGTTTGCCATGTAGATTGATTTTTAAGATAAATCTTATGTTTCTGCACTAATGATGGGCTTTTATTACTGAATTAACATGAAATAGTCTATCTAAACCAATGCAATAAACAGAAAGTTATGGTACCTTTATCCATCTTTGATGGGACAATAGGAAGAAGAATCATATGGAATTTCTAGCTGGGAGTCATAAAACTGACTTTGTAGCAGAAAAATAGGCAGCACAGACCCATTTTGAATATGATAGCACAGAGTAATTTTGAATATGATTTTAAGCATTACTTCAACTGTTTCTAGGGGGGACTGAAAGAAAGCCACTAGCCAGTCTATGCAGCTGACTTCTTACATCCATTATGCAGGCTCCCTCTTATACCTATTACTGAAGAATAAAAAGCCCCTGGAGACACATGAATGCCTTTCAGAGACTGCTTTATGATCACAGAGGAGAGAGGGCCTTACCTTCCTTCACACTACACAATATTTCAAATGGAAAGAGGCCAAGTACACATTTGGAAATATAGAAGTATTTGTTTAGAAACACAAGAGGTTAAGACCTATGGAAGATTTGTGAAGAGGTCATATTGTTTGTTTAGGGGAATTTTAGTTGGATTTTTTCTTTTATGCTTGAATGTTACTTTTAGAATATGTGGCATGATGTTCTGTAATTTTGGAAAACTCTTCTGGTTCAAAATGGAATTTGAGTGTAAACTCGACCTGATGCTATCTCATAAAGAGACCTGTATGGTGGGGTAGGCTACTGACCAGCTTCTACGTGAACATGAACTCATACATGTATTTGCCAGTAGTGAAATGTCTCAGGCTCAACATCTGCACCATTACTGAGTATTCTTTTGAGGCTAGGCGGAGGGGGATAACATAATTATTTCTGCATATTAATAACATGGCATATCATTTAATGAAACTTCCTTCTTAGTTAAGTCCTCTCCTGTAAAGCTTCTCATTGTGCAGTGTTGGCACAAAATACAGGATGTATAAATGAATCCTGACTTTCTAAAATGTCATTGTTGTTTTGTCAAATAACATGTTTCATCACTTTTTTTTAATTTTAAAAGAAAATTGGCCCTGAAACATCATCCAGATAAGAATCCAGATGATCCGGCTGCTGCTGAAAAGTTTAAAGAAATCAACAATGCCCACACAATACTCACTGACACAACAAAGAGAAACATATACGACAAATACGGATCTCTAGGACTCTATGTGGCTGAACAATTTGGAGATGAAAATGTTAATACCTACTTCATGCTATCAAGCTGGTGGGCAAAGGTAAATCGCAATTTTTTTCCTCATAAACAGTTTCCTGGAAGATTATTATTTTATTCAGTCTCTAATCCTCCTCCTCCTCCCCTTTTCCCCTAGGGCCTCCTGTATGCTAGACAACTACTACTGAGCTGTATATCCTGCTCTTTATTCAGTTTCTGTAGACATTATCAAAGCAAGACCAACCTTATTATCATTACACTCTTGAAAAATAAAACAAGACATCCCTTCCACCAAAAATGGTGGATCATTTGTGCTTTCACTCATCCGTTAATTATAAAATCCAAAATGACTTACAGTATTTCTAGACATTAATTATATTTGAGTTTGGAGCTGCAGGTTAATTTTGATTGCTCTCCCTTTCCCCCATAGTGACTAATTAAGAGCTGACTCACTGCTCAAAACCCAAAATAATTTATTAGCCTGACAACAGTTTAATAAGTTATTATGGGACAAATTTAGCTGTGGACTATCTATAGGGTAGGCGACATCAGCAACCAGTATGTAGGAGAATGAGTGGCAATTATGTCATAGGCTCTCTGGGGCTGTTGTTTGTAGTGGAGAAGGAAATGGATGTGTGTGTGTGGGGGGGGGGGGGGAGGATTAAGTAGTGGATAACAATGAGTTGGGGAAGGAAGGAATGAGATGGGAAAGTCTGTTCCAGAGAAAGGCAGCATTTTAAAGGACTAAGTGCAACCAGAATTGAGTTTTGTAGAGCAAATTTTGTTTGATTTCCTGGAAATCTCTACTATATGTATGTCTGGTGCTAGCTTCTATATTTGTTTATGATTTTTACTGCCTTTATCTTCTGGTGAAAGTATATTTACATATAGACCACACATAGTCCATATATTGCCCATATATTTTGCGGACAGTTTACATGTACTTAAGTTGTCACATATCCTAACAAATTTTTTTGGTCAGTTATGGGGCTTGAACTCTGGGCCTGGACACTGTCCCTAACCTAAGGCTTTTTGTGCTCAAGGCTAGCCCTCTACCGCTTGAGCCATAGTGCCACTTCTGCTTTTTGAGTGGTTAATTGGAGATGAGTCTCACAGAGACTTTTTTTTTGCCCTGGCTGGCTTCAAGCTATGATCCTCAGATCTCGGCCTCCTGAGCAGCTAGGATTACAAATGTAAGCCACCGGTGCTTGGCTTTTAATAATTTTTAAACTCAAAAATCTCCACACACACACAAAAGGCATGTTTCATGTTCAGCAGTATTTTGATGGCGATTTCTTATTCAGAATTTTGCTAAATAGAGGTATATTCGGGAAGAGAGGGGATTATGTTCTTGTATATAAGCAAAGAGCGAAAGTGTATGTCCTAAAGTGCCAGAGTTTTCTTGGGGTGGGGCAGATACCTGGGATTCCCATTGAAACAAGTTTCTGCTGAGTGGATTGGGGGTTTAGAATGGGTGTGCTTACTGCTAATGTAATGTCTGAGGACAGTGAGGACTTCGGAGGGTTTGCATGGGACCCTCCCCTCCAGGCAGGACACTCCACGTCTTCAGTCCCAGATACTCACACAGGTGCACCTGACTGAATATTGCATCCTATCTGCATCAAGATGAAAATAGGCTTCCTTGTCAAGAATTTGATGAAATTGGCCAAAACTCCTATAAGACAAGGAAGATCTACTCAGTAGTAAAGAGATAAAGGAAACCATTGCTGAATGTTCTCTTTAAAAATAAGGCTAGAGCAAGGCGTGGTGATGCATGCCTTAGGGAGGTCAAGGCAGGAGAATAGAGAATGTGAGACCAGCCTGAGCTATATAATGAGACCTTGTCTTAAAACAAAGAGGAAAAAAAGACCTCAAAGAATACATCTTCTTTTGCTTGTGCCACGGTGCCCATCAGAATAGCCTGACACATCAGAGTAATGTATTTAGTATATACCTTAGGATTTGAAAATGTATATCAAAAATGTATATTTTTGGCTATCCAACAAGAATGATGCCCTGAATTCAAGTTCTGCCAAAAATTAATTTTAAAAAATCAGATGTCTACTTGGTCTAAGCATGACAAGGGATAAAGTAAAGTGCTATCCCACAAAAGGCAAGCAATGTTGTTCAAATAATTGTGACAAAACATTATCTGAACATTGATATCCTCAATGGAGAGACTGGTATGACAACTGCATAATGAAAACAAGAAGGATAAACGCAGGGAGGGAGGGAGGGAAGAGTGCCTTGAGGCTGATGTTCACAGGAGAGCCTATGAGAGGATGGGTGAGGACTGCTTCCAGTTTTGCTTTCAGAGTGATCTACCCAAGATGGTGAAAATGTACAGCATAGTAAAGAGGGTTGCTATGAGGCAAGGCCATAGTCTTCCCCTTGAAGCTGGCTCAACCCCATACTGGGTCTGGAATAGACAGAGTCCTGAGCAAGGAAGCCGGATGGGGAGGTGAATGTCAGAGTCCCACCTCTCACTGAAGAAGCATGCCAATGGATGAACTTCATTTTTGATGTGCTTTGCTCCATAGAGTAACATCTGGCTTAAGTTCTAGATAAAAGGGTTGGATTTTATCTTAGATAAAAATCTGGATTCTAGTTACAGATGTACAAACCTCTTCTATATTTCAAGTAGTATATTTTAAATAAAATTCTAAATTGCTTTTCTTAGCAAAAAAAAGGGGGTTCTTTATGGTTTCACAGCGAAAAAGCCTTGAGAATTTTAATTTTTCTTTCTTTTTTCTTTTCTTTTTTTTTAAATGGGAAGCTGGGCACTGGTGGCTCAAGCCTGTAATCCTAACTACTCAGGAGGCTGAGATCTGAGGATCACGGTTCAAAACCAGCCTGGGCAGGAAAGTCTGTGAGATTCCTATCTCCAATAAACCACTCAGAAAACCGGAAGTATAAGATGATGTTAAGCGAAATGAACCCCAAGATAGGGACACAAGTGGTTTTTTCTTTCTTGCTATTGTTTCTAAACCCTAACAGGTATAACCCCTGTTCACTGTATTTTGATGTTGGTCTAATTTGTGGAGGGGAAGGGAAAAAACAAAATGCTTAAATAGGGATACAAGTTGACCCATTGTAACAACGAGATGTACAAGACACTATGTGGAAAAACAAACTTCACAATTTAGGTAGGGAGGTGGGGAGTGTAGTTGTGGAGGTGGGAGGGAAGGGATGGTAGGGGAAAAACAAAGGAAGAGACAACAATACTTGATAGAAAATGTACTCATTACCTTGCTCATGTAACTGTAACCCCTCTGTACAGTATTTTTACAATAAAAACTTATTAAAAAAATGGAACTGGCCCTGTGGCTCAAATGGTAGAATGCTTACCTTGAGCTGAAGAGCTCAGGGACAACACCCAGGCCCAAAGTTCAGTCATCATAACTGACCAAACAAAAAGGGGGAGGAGAAGGGAAACCCTTTTATATATTTGTGGGGAAATCCTTATTCTGTTGCTTATATTTGTTATTATTGCTTATATTTATAAATTCAGTAGATAATTAAGAGTCTACAGCTTACTTACTACTAAGTTCTGGGCACAAGGGATTAGAAGATTGACTATAGTAATATACAATCATCCAGCCTTCAAGATGCTCACAACCTAGTACAATGAGACAGATTATAAGCTGATCTATGTTCTAAAGTGTCAACAGAAGAGTGTCACTGTGGAGATTGGTGTGACATACAATGAGGCACAAAATAGTGAATAACAGAGCAGGATCAAAAAAGGCACTGCAGATTTTTTAGCTAAGTCTTAGACAGCAGATGGATTATTTATTAGGTGACTGGGGAATGGAAGATGGGTGTCTGGCAGAATCCATACGGAGAGCCCAGCAATCAAGAGTACTGGTGGGAGTCAAAACACCCTTATCAAGAGCTAGGCTGAACAAGTTTACACTCCCACTAACAGTGCAGTAGCTCCCTTTTGGCCACCTCCCCTCCAGCATCTGTTGTTATCAGAGTTCTTGATTATAGCCATTCTAACTGGGGTGAGATGGAATCTCAATGTTGTTTTGATTTGCATTTCTTTTATGGCCAGAGATGTTGAACATTTCTTCATGTGTCTATTGGCCATTCTTTTTTTATTTTTTATTTTTATTGTGTAAATACCGTACAGAGGGGTTACAATTACGTGAGCAAGGTAATGAGTCCATTTCTTATCAAGCATTGTTGCCTTCTCCTTTGTTTCCCCTTCCCATCCTTTCCTATCTCGCCCCTCCCCCACCCCAGCCAAAGTATTGGTCATTCTTATTTCCTCTTCAGAGAAGTTTTTAGCCCAGTTTTTAACCCAGAAGTTTTTATTAATGGGGTGGTTGTTTCTTTGAGGATTTGTTTTTTGTGGGGGGATTTAATTGTTTGAGCTCTAAGTATATTCTAGATATGAGGTTGTCTGTTGTTTGGCTAGTGAAGATCTTCTCCCAGTCCATGAGCTTTCTATTGGTCTTGCTAGCTATGTCCCTTACCATGCAGAAGCTCTGCAGTTTAATGCAATCCCAGTTATCTAATCTTTCTTTGATTTGTTGTGATCCTAGGCCTTTATTAAGAAAATTTCAGCCTTTGCTAAAGAGCCTCAAAGTTTCTCCTGTTCCTTCCTGTAATGTTTTCAGGATGTTGTCACTGTATTTGATTTTGGTACCTTAGTATTGCATATATGTTTATTTGAATTAGGGAAGGGAAGGGGAAAGGACAGAGTGGTGAGATAAAAGACAAGGGAGAACCATTGCAACAGCAACATACACATGACAATATGTTGGAAATGAGCTGTACAACTTGTGAGGGGGTTGGAGGGGGGAAAGTAGGAGAAAAATGAGGAAGGGGTAACAAGTTTGACAATAAATGTACATATTACCTTACTTAAGTAACTGTAACCCCTCTGTACCTCACCTTGACAATAAAAAAATAATAAAATAAATTTTAAAAAGAGCTCAGCTGTACCTGAGAAGTAGGAGGATTGCTGCACGGTATTAGGAGAACTAGTATTTCAGTAAGCTTCCTCCAGTAGCTATGGGTGTGGATACATAGAGGGCAGGAATGGAGGCAGGGAGGCCAGTTAGAAGGCTGCTGGAGTGTCCAGACTAGAGATACAAGGAGCTGTTCTAAAGCTCTCACAACTGGCAGAGAGGCAATGGGGAGAATGGATGCAAAGATGATGAGGAGAGATGCTACAGGGCTTGGTGACTAACAGAAATGTGGAGATGGGGAACTAGGCACCAGAGGCCCCTTCTTCAGTGGGAGTGAGTCTGTTCTGTAGAGCAATGCCAGACCAGATCCTCTAACTTTTGTGAAATGATTTGTTGGGTATGGGCTGGCTTTGCTCTTAATAAAGCCAGAATTTATTACTTACTTCCTCTGGATCTAATGTGCCCTGGACTTTATGAGGAAAATTCTTTTCCATTTTTTTTCCTGTCCTGTTCCTTTCTCTTTTGTGTTTGTTTTGCTTTGTTTGTTGTTTGTATGTTTTGAGACAGGGCTTTTATTTGTGTATCCCAGGCTGGTCTGAAATCCATGATGCAACCCAGACTGGTCTCCAACTTGGGATTCTCCCATCTTAGCTTCATGACCACTGGGCAACCACAGAAAGGTCAGGAAAATGATTTTCAAGAAGCTGGAAAGAGTTCCTACAGAGTGTTAAGGGCGAGGATGGGGTGTACGCCATGATATCTTCAAGTATCTGGAGGAGCACATGTGCAGGCTTGATTTCTGAGACTTATGCCCTTTCTCATCATCCATTTTGCTTTGCTTCTGTCTTCCCAGACCCTGTTCATCATCATTGGCCTCTTGACGGGCTGCTATTTTTGTTGTTGCCTGTGTTGCTGCTGTAACTGTTGTTGTGGACGGTGCCGGCCCAAATCATCGACGTCAGAAGAGGACTTCTATGTGTCACCGGAGGACCTGGAAGAACAGATCAAGACTGACATGGAAAAAGGTGGGGCAAGATGGAGCAGAGGGAGAGGGTGTCCCTTCATAGATCTGGCTAGGTGCTAGGTCCCACTAACGATACAGAACTCCAGCAACCAAATGGAAGAATCTCACTGGCTGTCAGCTTTGCTAGCACTTTGGGGGAAGTTAAAGAAATGCCAGCATAGAGAAAAGCTAAATGTGACACTATTCGTCTCCTTATAATAATGAGGTCTGGGTTCAGGGGGGCTTGGGTGACACATCCATGGCCTTAGAACCAAGGTGGAAATGTCTTTCAAGAATGCATTTCTATTTGTTCTTTGGAGATCTCTATTCAAATAGAAAAGAATTGTTGGGTTTGGTGGTGTGTGGTTAACATGCCAGCACTCAGCAAGTTAAGACAGAATGACCATGATTTCAAGGCGAGCTTGGTTACACACATAATTCCAGACTGCTTTAGACTCTTTAGTGCAAGAAGAGAAAGAGAAGAATGATTGGAGAGGGAAAGGGAGGAGAGAGGAGAAGAGGAAAGAGAGGAGGAGGGGAGGAAATGGGAAAGGAGGGAGGGGAGAGGAAAGGAGAGGAGAGGAGTGGGAAAAGGAAAGGAAAACATAAAATTCTTATCAACCATTGACTTCTTTTTCTTTGGTTGACTAAATGTTGATTTGGGGAATAGAGTTGGACTAGGGCACTCTTCCTCTGAAATATAGCTACTTTCTCAGTGTACACACTCAGGGTTAGCCTCAAAGTGACATCAACAATAGGATCATTTTCTTTTCTTTTTCTTTTTCTTTTTGTCAGTCATGGGGCTTGAACTCTGTGCTTGGGTGCTATCCCTGAGCTCTTCAGCTCAAGGTGAGCACTAAACCACTTGAGCCACAGCACCACTTCCGGTTTTCTAGTATTTTATTGGAGATAAGAGTCTCACGGACTTTCCTGCCCGGGCTGGCTTTGAACCATGATCCTCAGATCTCAGCCTCCTGAGTAGTTAGGATTACAGGCATGAGCCACTGGTGCCTAGCGGGATCATTTTTTAAAAAAATATTATTAATTTTTATTTTTTGCTGGTCATGGGGCCTGAACTCTGGGCTTGGGCGCTGTCCCTCAGCTCTTCAGCTCAAGGCTAGTGCTCTACACATGAGCCACAGTGCCACTTTCAGTTTTTTCTTCTTATATGTTGCTGAGGAAATGAATCCAAGGTCTCATACATGCAAGGCAAGCACTCTACCACTGAGCCACCTTCCCAGCCCCCGGGATCATTTCTTTACTGACATAGCACCATATACCTCCATGTACCCAGGGCCATGAACTTCGAATATTCAAAGTTTATTCTACCCAGAAATGAAGAAGGAAGAAAGGCAAAGAAAGTGAAGAGTTCACAGAATTCACTCTATGTTCTCTGAGGAATGCATGTCTTTGTTTAAACAAGTTAGGGTCAAACCTGCTGTTGTGCTGCTCCACTGTGCTGTCAAAACTCTCCTGTCTTTCACCCAGGGAATTCACCACTATTCTGGATAACAGACTTTATCCCTGAATGACCCCTGAATGCCTACCTTGCTCTTCCCCCCTCCCTTCACTAGACAACCAATGGAAAGAAGCACTTGGTAGTAGAGACAGTGGTCCATTGTTTCCAGAACTTCTGGGACTAGGATGGTGTAGTACCCTAGACTGAGATGAACTCTGATACTTTGTTCTAGTTTAAATGGAAATTCTAGAACATCAAGCCTTGTGTGCCTTTGGTTGGTTTGTTTTGGTGATACTGGGGTTTGAATTTGGGTCTTATATTGGTAGTCAAGCAGCTCTACCACTTGAGCTATGCTTCCAACCCTGCTTTTTGCTAGTTACTTTAAAGGTGGAATGTGGTGAATTTTACTGCCTAAACTGGCGTCTAACTGCAATTGTCTAGATAGCGTCTCTTGCGTATAGGATTATAAGTGTGAGCCACAGACTCTGGTTTCCATATACCTTTTATTTCCTATCATAGGGGAGTCCAGAAAGGACAAACGCCTCTTGCTAAGGGAATGGCCAGTCTAGTAACCAGATGAAGTAAACAGGCCAGTTTTTATTATTTTTCTTGGAGCCACATTGATAGCTCATGGTGAACCACAATTACTACAATTTGTTTTGTTTTACTTAGGTTATAAAAGGACAGGTTAATCTTTGAGTGGGGGCATAGGAACAGAACAAGCCAGCATGATTACAAATAAATGTATCAAGCAGTGATTATGTGCAAGGAAATACCTCTTAACGAAAGGGCTGGTGGCCATGGCACAATTTGCTTATGAATGATGGTCCCAGTACATGAATCCCATCTGCTCTGGGAGAGACATAAACTGTGACATGACCATGTCACAGCTATACTAGTGGTAGAGTCTCCCCATAGCATCCATCCAGCCAGACAGGATCCAGACAGAAGCAGAGGACAGGGATGGACAGTGAGACAGGAGACTACTGTCATCCTCAGCCTCTGGGGTGATCCTTACTTTTTCTTCATACTGGGAAAACTCAAAAACAGGTCAACTGAACTTAGATATCCCAAATCCAATGTTTGGCACTAGTCTGAAAAACAACCTCATATTGTTCCTCTTTGAAACAGGATAAAATCTCTATCAGGTCATTTCAGTAGACATTCTTTGCATACTTCTGCTCTGGAACAGAAATCCAAACTCTTTGCCAAATCCCCCCTAGAGCCTCATCTTGCTGAGTGGTTGGTGATAAATCTGAGTGCCTCTCACTGTCTGACAACCCAGAGCCACCAATTCCATTGCAGAGGTCAGATCATAGCATCCCCTTTGACTGTGATTATGCATATATGTGTGTATATTATATTACATATGTTTATAGTATATATATGTTAAAGGTGACGAATGGGGGCTTACAGTTACACAAGTAAGGTAATAAGTACATTTCTTTTTAAACACTGTTACCCCCTGCCTCATTTTCTCCCTCTTTCCCCTCCCCATTTCCCTTGTCATTAAACATCTTAACCAAAAGGAATATCTTTGAATTGGTTTTAACATTGGAAAATTCCTATGCAAGGTGATTCAAGATTGTGGAAACTCACACAATTTAGGAAGATCACTTTAAGAAAAAGAGCACAAAATAAAGCTTGAAAGTTGGAATTAATTTTAAATAAGAAAGAGAAGTTAACCGGATCTCATAGCTCATGCTTGTAATCTTAGCTACTCAGGAGGCTGAAGTCTGAGGATCATGGTTTGAAGCCAGCCCAGGCAAGAAAGTCTGTGAGATTCTTATCACCAATTAATCACCAGAAAACCAGAAGTGGAGCTGTGGCTCAAGTGGTAGGGCACTAGCCTTGAGTACAAAAGCTAAGAGACTGAACCCACATCTTGAGTTCAAGCCCATTTTGAGTTTAAGCTTGACACAACCCACCACTAAGCTTTAAAAACATAAATATAACATATATCACGAAATCTAGAAAAATAACTTTTATTTAATTAGCTGTCTGGCATATCTCTGACACTTTCCTTTACTGCTAGATATTCTTTGCCTTTTCATATAACAATAATTTTGTTATAACCTATAGGAAAATTTAAAATGTCATTTCTCTAGTTAATTTGACTGAAATTTTGTTTTTACTGTTGGTGAATTATTATTTCTGTTCAGTTTTTCAACTAATTATTGATATGTCTAAATTTTAGAGATGGCCATATTGGGGAAACTAGTTTACTTCACGTATACAAGATGTAAGACTTCTGCAGACCATTTGTGCACATTTCAGACCATATTGTTCCTACAACAGTTGATACTATCTGGGTAAGAAACATTGGCCACATTAATATTGTGTGCCAGGCCATTTGTGTTGGATCTTCATGTACCTTCAGTGAGTAAATTGGCATAGCCAGCTGAGGGATCTGGAGGATTGCAGTTAGTTCTTGATCAGCCCAGGTGGAAAAATTCACTAGATTCCATCTACAAATAAACAGCCACTAGAGGGCTGAAAGCAAGCGCGAGAGCTGCTTGGCTAGCAAGCTTAAGGTCCTGAGTTCAACCCTATTACCACCAAAAACCAACCGACCAAACAAACAAAAACCAGCCACATGGAAGCCTTTACAAGTCTCTGGGGCTTGATGTCCTGGGATTTCTGTTTCAGTGAGACACAAAATATCAGGGTCCAGTCCAGTCCAGGGAGCTGTATCATGGTGAACTTGGCAGTTCTGGCAACAATGTGCCTCTGTCTCAACTACAAATAATTCTTTCCATTGGCTGACTGGGAGGGGGGCTGTTATCCAGAATAATGGTGCATTTCCCAGATGAAAATGTCAGGAGGAGTTTTGTTTGTTTGTTTGTTTGTTTCTGTTTCATTTTTTGCAGCACATTGGCATAGCATGACAGCAGGTTTGAGCCCAGCTTGCTTCAACAACGACATGTATTCCCCAAAGAACATAGAGCAGATTCTGTGAGATCTTTACTTTCTTTGCCTTTCTTCCTGCTTCATGTCTGGGTAGAACGAGCTTGAAGGATCAGTAAAATATTACGGTCATGGGTGCACCCAGGCATGTGCTGCTGCCTTAGTGAGGAAATAGTCCCATCTCTGATACTGGCTGGAAGTGAACCTTGAATGTATGTGTTGAGAAAGCAGCTACATTTCAGAGAAAGACTGCCTTAGTCTGGGTGCACCCCACAAATCCTTACCTAATCAGCTGCAGAGAGGAAAATCAAAAGCTTCGTGGGCCTAAGGTAGCCTGGAACTCTGCATAACCCAGGCTGATGGGAGAGTAGGTAGAGCCAGTGGTTTATATTAATTGTTCATTGAAGTGATATTACTTGCTTAGAGATTTAACCAGTATAAGATGAATCCAACTGGAAATTTATTTTTCATACATGAGTACTAATTTTAGTAAACTATTAGAGTCCTTTTCTCTGCTATTCTTTCTTTTATCTAAAAATGCTAAGATACAAAATATAATGAAACTCATATAAGCAATGTTCTCTCCAAAATAAATTACTTACTACTTTGTTTTCTTATATTGTAGTGGACTATTCTAGAGGGGTTAATCAGAAAAG